TCACGATTAGGACTATTACACAGCTCACGGAGGTGAGAGCCCTGAGCTCAGCATGCAGTAAGTGTGCATCTTGGATGCCACAGACAGGTGCGGTGGGGTCTGAACTCCTCCCCAGGCTGCCCGGGGGACCACCTCAAGGGCCCGCTTGGGACGCTCTGTGCGCGACCCACGCGGGGCTTGGGCGGAGAGGAGGGGGTCCGTCCAGCACCCTGGACAGCGCCCCCCCGCCCCCACAGAGCCTCTTCCGCGTTCCTGCTCCTTGGGTCCCGCCCGACGCCCCGAAGTACCGAATGTGGTCTGCGGGGGTAGCCGTTGCCCCGCCAGCCGGTCAGGGGCCGGGAGCCCGCAGCAGATGGGCGGGGGACGCTTGCCAGTTTACGGCAGCAACGGCCACGCGTCGCGGAGGCGTGCCGGGGGGTCGGGAGGGGGCCGCTGCTGGGCCGGGTGGGGGCGATGAGGACACGCCCCCCCGCGTTCTGGTCACGTGAGCTCCGACTGCTCCGAAGGTGCAAATCGGAGTCCAAGGCAACAGAAACGAAAATGAACTCCAAGGATCTCTGGGTTGGTTCTTCTTTGGGGTTCAGTTTCCCCAAGGGTAGGGGGACCAGGTGGTTCCTGACCTCAGCGGCTGCCCCGGAGGGAGTCTTGGGGTCCAGGCACTTCGCCGGCTTCCGGGGAGGAGGGCGCGCCCCAGACGTGCTCTCTTGGGCTCAGTTCCCTGCTCAGCTCCGAGCAGCTGGTGGCGCTCGTTTCTCGCCCTCTTGACCTTGGTAGGGTCTGCCTGGGGCTGGGGCCCGGCGGTGCCGCTGCAGCCGCGGGGCTCCCTGTCTGTCCTGAGTGGGGTTCGGTGACCCGCTGAGCTCCACGTAGGGACCGAAGGAAGACGGGCGAGTCGGAGAGGAGGGGCACAGCCTCCCAGTCCCATTCTTCACCTCTGGATCGGCGCAGCGATGGTTCCAACAGGCCCCACGTGTCCCGCGCCCCGCCACAGATGGGACACGAAGGCGGGAACGGGATCCCCGGGGACACCAAGGTCCCCCTTTCTAGCCCCACCCTGCTGAGGAATAAAGGCGGGGCAGGGCGGGGCGGGGCTGGCGGATTCTCTTTAAAGCCCGGCTGCGAACGCGGGCTCCCTGCGCTCCGCCCTCTTCGGCCCTGTCTCCTCTCGCGCTGGTCAGGCACGGAGCTCCCTTCTCAGAAACCCACAGGGCCGCCACTTTCTCGCGGAGCATGGGGCTGCCTCGTAGGGAAGGGGATGCAGCCGAGCTGCGCAAGGTAGGAGCCCGGGATGGCAGAGGGCGGGCGGGCCTCGGGTCACGACAGCCCTAACGGTGGCTTCTGCGCCCACCCGTGCGCCGCAGAGCCTGAAGCCGCTGCTGGAGAAGCGCCGGCGCGCGCGCATCAACGACAGCCTGAGCCAACTCAAGGGGCTCATCCTGCCGCTGCTGGGCAGGGAGGTGAGTGCGGGGTCCGCGCCAGTGGGGGCGTGGAGGGAGCGCGCGTGGTCCCCAAGGCCGAACCTGGAGGACACCCACGCAGAAGCGGACCCGGCGCGCGGGGCTTCAAACTTTCGAGCGCGCGGGGATTAAGCCGGCTGCGGTGGCGCACCGCTGTTACCCTAGCCCGGGAGTTCCAAGTTCCAGGCGAGCCTGGCCACACAGTGAGTTCGGGGTCATCCTAGACTCCATAGCGAGACCCTATCTGTTTTCCTACGTGGCCCGGCTCAGAACTCCCGCTACTCGAAGCTGGAAAAGGCAGACATCCTGGAAATGACTGTGCACTTCCTGCAGGAGCTGCCGGCGTCCCCCTGCCCCGCCGCCGCGTCCGGTGAGTGAAGCCACACCTGACCCACCCCTGCCTCGCGTCCCAGCCCTCACCCCATGCCGCCCCTCACACCACTTTCCTCCCGCAGCGCCCACGGACAGCTACCAAGAGGGCTACCGTGCCTGCGTGGCGCGCCTGGCGCACGAGCTGCCGGCCTGCGGCGTCCTGGAGCCCGCGCTGAGTGCACGCCTGCTGGAGCATCTGCGGCGGAGCGCCTTCTGCACCACCCCAGACGCCAGACCCTCCTTGTCGCCCTCGCCGCCCGCGCCAGCGTCCTCCCCGCCAGGACCGCCCAGCGCTGGCCTCTGGCGGCCGTGGTAGCCCCTTGGCAGGGCCACAGAGCCAGCTGACCGCGAGCAGCCTGGCAGGCCGAGGGAGCTCTTGGCAGCAGCCGCCTTTCCTCCACCGCGGACCAGCCCAACATGGGCAGGAAGACCAAAAGCGGATGTCTGTGACCCAGTGGCAAACCGAAGGCCTGGAGGGCTCAGCTGGAGGAAATGAGGGACGCTGCTCTGCTTCACTGTGAATCTGGATAGGAAAAGGCTGTGGGAGCCAAAGAAACCCCGTCCTGGCTGGAGGAGGTGGCTGTGGGACCAGGCCAGCCACAAGTGCCTGTGCCTTGAGTGACACACCTGCCCTACCACTGGCACCTGGCCAAGCAGCTCACCTGGCCAGGTGCAGCCATCTGCTCTGACTAGCACTGCCCTCCCAGCTCTGCTCAGGCCTACTTCCTGCCCAGCTGGGCGTGGGAACCCTGGGACACCCAGTAGCCATGGCCTGAGGGGCTTTGTCAATGACTGGGATTACAGGGTACAAGGAGCACGTAGGCCCCAGGCCTGGAGCCCCAACCACCACTCCCAGGCTACCAGGTGCCAGGGAGGGGGCAGAGAGCCCCACGGCCTCTCTAGGGGGTCTTGGGAACAGTCTAGCTCCCCAGGCATTAATACAGCACCAAGGCCATGTGGTCTTGGGAACAAGAATGAGCTGCGCTGTGGCTCCAAAGGAGCTGTTACTTGGGAGGACAGCAAGAGTGACACAGGACAGCGAGAGTGACACAGGACAGCAGAATGAAGAGCAGGCTGCCTCAATTGCTCCTTCAGACGACACTGCTGCTTGCTCACAGATGAGAGCCAACTGGACCCCGGAAGCAACCTGCTCCCGAGACATCTCTTTCTTCCTGGCAGAGGCCAGGCAGCCTGCTGTGAGGACTCAGGGGTGGGCCTGCAGATAGAGGCACCCACAGGGGTGTGCCAGAGAGAGGGGACACTCCTGTTTCCTTGGCAGTCGTGTTCTGTCATTGCCTGGGGATTTGCTGAGCACTTCAGGAAGGCCAGAGTGCTTCTTCGGTCAGTCCAGGATGAGCAAGCTGTGTGGGAGAGCAGGACACCTGGGGAGAGCGGGCAGACTGATGGGGAAAGGGCCAGTCAGCAAGTCAGCCGGAGCCCCACCGAGCGTGATGCCTTGGGCCCTGGTTTGGGAGGCAGGATATGGGGAAAGGCACTGGTGCCAAGACAGAAGGGCGAGGCCACAGCAGGCCGTGGTGTGCAGGGCTGGGGCTCTGGCCTCTGCACCCTTCGAGAGCTGAGGGGCCTCATGAGCGTTCAATAAACACGGTGCTCAGTGAACAGATGCTGGGTGCATGCAGCCTGGCTTTGCACTAACTCGCACCGTGGACCCAGCCTCCCTTTGGAAGGTTTCCTCCTGAGGCCCAACGTTTGCTTCTCTGAGCTGCCAGGAGCAGGTAGAGAAGCCGAGAGGCAGGGAGCCCTGGTGAGGTCACCCTACAAGTGCTGGGCTCCTCCTCAAATTCCAGGCTCCTGTCTCCAGGAGTATACTGAGGGACCTGACTCATTTAACACCTGGGGTGGTCTTACCCGGACCCAGCTCCTCCTGCTTCCTGCCACTCAGTCTGGGGCTTGCATGATCTGGCCCTTCTCGAACCTTCATGCAGCAGCTGGGGAGAGGTGCGTGTGGACAGGGTGAGTCACAGATCAGGTGCTCCAGGATCCTGCCTGGGACACTGGCCAGCCAGGCCCTGGCATGCCTGGGCGGGTGAAGTTCAGGCTCCAAGGCAGAAGCCTGAGCTGCTCAGCAGGATGTGCAGAAGGCCTCACCAGGATTCCCGGCCCAGCTGTACGCAGGACGCTGACCTCCTCCCTCCTCCCCCCAAACCACCTGGGGCTGGGTGCCTGGACGCCACCACCTCCACCTGATGGCTGGAATGAAACTGTGTGTGTGTGTGTGTGTGTGTGCGCGCGTGCGCGTGCGCGTGAATGAATGGCGGGTGCCTTTCTTCCTTCTCCCTTCCCTCCCTTGTTTCCTTCCTTTCTTTGGAGGCAGGGTCTCACTATGCAGCCCAGTCTGGCTTCAAATTCATGGCAGTCCTCCTGCCTCAGCCTCCTGAGTGCTGAGATTATAGGTAGGATTATAGGTGTGCACCACTTCTCTCTCCTTCCGGATGAAACCCAGGCCCTTGTGCATCCGAGGCAAGGGCTCCACTGAGGCACACATCCAGGCCACAAAGGGCATCTTACAACCTTTACCAAGTCCCAAATCGTGTCCAGTGTCCAGCTCTCTGGATACCTGCTATACTGTATTTTTGAGACTGAATCTGACTCCTTCCTGTCGTCAGCCCAGCTGGAGAAAAGCCCCCAAGTCCTCCTCTCCTTTAATCTGTGGGTGAAGCCATTGTGGGATTGCACATCTGTAATTGCCGTACCCTGGGAGGCTGAGGCAGGTAGGAGGACTGCAAGTTCAAGCCCAGCCTGGGCATGGTACTGTAGCGAGTTAAGAAGATGCTGTCTCAAATATAAAATAAAAAGAGGGCTGAGGGTGTAGCTAAGTGGGAAGGCCCTGAGTTCAGTGCCCAGTACTCCAAAACAAAACAAAACTAGTAGGTGAAACAACTCCATGCCCCCCACAAGCAGAGGCCCAGCTGCCTGGGAGCCTGGCCTGCTGCAGTGAACTCTTCAAGGGAGACGAGGAGGCCCTGCTCCGGCACCAGGGAGGCTGCAGAGGCCAACGCCAGTCTGTGGCAGTGGGGCTTCGGGTGGGCTGCTCGGGAGAGTTCCTCTCGGAAACCCAGACTGCCTCGACATCCCTGTCAGGGATTAGAAAGCCTCTTTCTGGCCATACACCCGAGATCAAATTTACTTTTTATTTTATTATGTATGTAGGGTTTGTTTTTTTGTTTTTGTTTTTTTTTTTTTGGTGGTACCAGGGATTGAACTCAGGCCCTGGTGCTTGCCAGGGAAGCGCTTATTCTACTGAGTCATCTCCTCAGCCCCATATATAGGTTTTTAAAAATTATTATTATTTTGATTTTTGTTGAGATGGGGTCCTGCTTTGTACTACAAGGCTGGACTTGAACTCACTATGCAGCCCACAGTGACTTCAGGCTCCCAGCAATCCTCCGGCCCTAGCCTCCCAAGCCCTGGAACTCATGTGTGCACCAGCCTGTTTTTTTTCGAGACAGCTACAGCTATGTAGCCCAGGCTGCCCTGGATTACAGGAATTTTCGATTCCCCTGCCTCAGCCTCCAGGGTGTGGAGATTATAGGAATATGCCACCACGCCTAGCTTCGCTATTTATCCCTTTGCCTACTTTCCTTGCCTGACAGGCGGATCAGCCTGCTGGAGAAGAATGCGCCCAGCCAGCAGGGGTCGTTTTCCTGGATTGCACTCATGTTCCCCCTCCCCTGCCCCCAGTACTGGGGTGGGACTGAGGGCCTCACACGCACTAAGCCCGGGCTTGAGTCCCTTGAGCCCCTCGGGGGAGTGTGGCTGCCGGCCGTGCACACCCCTGTGCATGTGCCGTGTGTGTCGGGTGTGTGTCCGGGGCTGCGACCCTTCCCGGAGCTGCCCGGGCATGCCACGCGGGGGAGAAAGCACCGCCTATGGGGGTTCACGGTGAGTCATTAGTTTCACTCGGGGCTGTCCGGCTAAGGCGGAGCCCGAGGGCTTCCAGGCTCGCTAATAAAACATGAATAATGGTTTCGGGGCGTGAGAAAGGTGGGGGATGGCACCCCTGCGCACAGTGTCTGGCAGCCGACCTCCACAGGGGCAGACGGGAGCTGGGCCTGGTGGCTGTCATAGGCTGGGCTCTGTAAACTCCAAGCCACCTCTGCAGGGGCTGCAGCTGACCTCTTCCTGTTGGGTGTATCAGGATTTTCTGGTCCCCTTCCTGTTGGAGGAGCACCTCCCTACTGCCTGCTAGCTAGGGTTCATTCTGCTCTTTATACCTTGGGTTTCTCTTGCAAGAGAAGCCATGGGATATTTAAACTTCTGCGTCTCACATATTTCACTTAATGTGATCAGATCCAGGTTCTGCAGGGATTACATTTTTAAATTTAAAA